CCAAATCTGTCCTAGCTTTCTCGGTTTGAATGAAGCGGATGGCCCCCTGGATCAACTCCATCCCGCGTCCCTTAACCTCTTTTCTGGCTTTTGATGCCGACCTTGCCAACTCGGAATCACGTAACTTAGTGATCGCCTTGTACTTCGCGTTAAGCTCAATAAGTTGGTTATTCAGGGTATCGGCGGTTTATTCGGATTCGTGAAGCCTACCCTGAACACCAGAAAGCTCATCCTGGAGTTTGAAATTCTGGTCGTACTGGTCCTGCAGCTCCCCCTTTATCTTCACCAGCTCGGATGTTAGACTGTCGACCTTGTCCTCCAGATCGTGCTTGGAGCCGGTAGAAGAGCTTAGTTCAGCCTCAAGAGCAGAAAGTTTTTTCTTCCACGCATCAATCTCCTTTTCCCGACCAAGGACCAGCCCCTCATAATGTTCAATCATGTCATTAAGCTCACCGTTAGCCAGCCATTATCCATAAAATCGGGATGGTGAGTCATTTCGATGAACGGCAGCACAATCGGAAAAATAAAGCGGAACTAACCCGAGATGAATGATGAGCATGAAGCAAATAGCGTTCACGAATCGCAGGGCGCCACTTGTCGAAATCAGGCAAGATCGAACCCGATCGGGTCTTGAAGCATCGGAAGACGCTGCCTTCTTTCTCCATAGCTGCGAAGGAGGAAGAGTTGTAAAAATTGGAATCTGAATAGAGACAAAAACTTTTAAGAATGTGTAAATCACCAAACCTGAAAGCGATTTGACTTGAGGGACAAGAGCAGGCTTTAACCTCGAGGAAGCATCTCGAGATTCAGAATCTCCCTTTTTTGGAGATGCGCTCCGGACAGTCTTTTCGCTGTCAGGCTGGGAAGAGGAAGACATATCAACCGGTCGAGGAGGACCCATTGGTTCAGTAGGAGGGGATGATCGAGGTGAACGGTCAGTCCGGGCCCTTGACTTCTCCCTTTGCGGGGAAGAATCACTACGAGAGGACTTGTCTCTCTTCCTGCGAACCAAGTTCTTAAGTGGTTCATTGCTAAAATCATCTCGGGGAGGACGAGGTGAATCACGGCGAGGAGATCGGTCCCTCCGAGGAGAACATGCGTCACGACGATCGCGACGAGGAGTTAATCTGAAAGAAGCGACGGATCTGGCTCCCTCGGTGCTGCCGTCATCAACCAGCAGGGTCCTGCTGTAGTCTTTTTTGTCAATAGCATCCGCAAGGAACGCCTTGTTTTCATCACAAGCCTCTGCTATCGGCTTGGAAAGTTTCTTACGCTGGGCAGCGAAGGCCCGAGCTGACATCCCCTGAGTTGAGGGAGGAGGCGGAAGACGATGAAGTTGATTAGGGGGGCTCATCCTGAGTTTTCGATTGGCTTCAATGAACCGATCGAGGGTGAAAGAATTCCAAAGGGTTTCCCCTTCAAGGATTGTTTTGAAGAACTTGACGAATTCTTCAGTCGGAAGAGTTGAAGCGATGAGAGCTGCGAAGTGAAACAGCAAGTTTGGTCAGTAAAAAAAAAATAAAACAACCATGAAAGGAATATACAACCTAGTTTCTACCAGGCTTCGCAGTCCACTTCGATGGAAGTACATCGGAAAGATTTCCAATCGAAGTAGGAGTTTTCTTAATCAGGAACCAAGGATGGTGCCAGTTTTCATCCTTGTTAGGGAGGTGCGAGATGACGTTCCTGTTGGCATTCGGATACGCCGAGAAGTACCCTGTTTTCTTTGACGAACTTCTCACGCTCAGAAGTTCATTCAGCTCGGGGACCCCAATAATGTAGTCTGCTTCCGCCGCAACGGTTATGATCCCGAGGATGGTTCGGAGAAGATTGGGGGTTAGCTGAGGTAAAGCGATCTCAAGAGCCGCCAAGTATCGAACCAGGGCTTCGGGAAGGGGGAAGGTCAATCTGCAGCCCTTGAAGTAGATTTCATAAACGCAAAAGTAGCCGTCGCGGTGATTTTCCGGGGACTCCATAGGGTCGGCTATCTGCGCTTCCGCTATGATTCCAGGGGGAATCTGGCAAAGCCCTTTTAATCGCTCTAGGGATTGAAGGGTACAGGTGGATCTGTAGTGTGGACCAGCTATGTCGTTAGGACGAGTGCATTCGTCATTACTGGAGCCACCTTCAAAGGATGGAGACTCGGGTCTTTCGGAATCAGAAGTCATCGGAGAATATGAGAAATTTAAAATCCGGCAAAGAGAAAATCGGCGAAGAAAGAGAAGAGAGAAGTTTCGATTAAAGCGTAAGAGTAAAAAGTGATGATGAAAGAAGTTACCTCACGAAAGCTAAGTGTTAATGATGAAACCGCCTTGGGAATCGTGGGGGAAGTGGAAAGGTTTCCCGCTTTAATAGAAAATAATTAAGATACGGTCATAATGGTGACAGATGTCACGCGACTAAACATGGATAGCGCCGAAATTAAAGGACTGACGGGATCTTGGCGGGAAAATCAAAAGATTCCTCAGAACGCAATCTTTGGTCATTAAAACATTTAAAGTCCTCCGAATTGGAGTGGCACTTCGAAGAACTTGGGGGGCTAATTGTTGGTGTCGGATCCCGCACCAGATGTTCGGGACCAACCAAAGATTGCCACGTAGTCAGGGTAACGGCCCATAAAGGATAAAGCCCATTAGGCCTGCAAGTCAAAAGAACAGTCGAAGTGGTTATCACCATAAGGAGAATCCGAAGTGACTGCACCTCGACACCAGTCCGGAGACGAAGTCATGGTCAAATCGGTCTAAGGACATTTGGGCCAAAAGGCGAGGCCCATGAAGATCAGGATCAATTCAAATTTGAACGTTAAGCATTAAAATCAAAGACCAAAACGGTTACATTTAAGAGAGAATAATTGTACTTAATTAGCCCATTAAATGTCATTCTTCTATGTATAAATATAAAGGTCAATGGCCATGTAAAGGGGATCTTTCTCTCGAAGAAGAAATACTACAGCAATTCTTGTAACAATTCATAAGCTTTCTATACATTTATTTTTGTCCCTCAAGAGTAATCTTTCCTACTTAATAAAAATACTTGAGTGTGCAAATCCGACATCCACAGGTCCCATTAAGAGAGGTGGCGGTCGGGGTGTTACAAGTGGTATCAGAGCTGAACCCAGTCGAGTGTGGAGTCAAGAGAGCTCACACCGTCGGGGGTGACGGTCTTGGTGCGCAACGAGGACGTTGCTATCTGTTAGTAGGGGTGAATTGTAACACCCCGATTTCAGGAATATGGTAGTGCATGCGGAGAGGTTTAAAAGAATTGATTTGGCCTCCTATGTCACAAAAGTGCACTTATTTTTTCGCTCAACTGTTCTGAGAGAACTCCACAGTTAAGCGTGCTTGAGCTGGAACAATTTAGGATGGGTGACCTTCTGAGAAGTTATTATCGGAACTGTGTGAGTGAGGACAAAACACAGGGAAAGATCATGTGGTGATTTGTAGGGTCGGTAAACAAGTCTTTAAAGCCTTTCGGACGTAGCAAACCGGCCATCAAAAGATAGTGGGCCCACGGGCCGAGAGAGGACGTGGGGCCCATTAAGTGAGGTGGTGGTCAGGGCATTACATTTAGGGTCTGGGAGAGTTGGAAAATCTAATTTTAGATTAGGCTATCATGGAGGTGAGACAAGTGGGAAGACAAATTTCGTTCCAAGAAAGGGTGTACATGCACGTCGTTATCAGTTTTTATTTCAAAACTACATTGGAGCTGTTCGAGCAAGACGTTTGCATCAGAATCATAACCATTATCACAGAGCAGTGACTGGGTATGAATGTTACTAATGTGGTTGTCATGGTCACATATATATGTACTGCTACACATATGCAGCTAAATTGAAGAAGCTAATGAGACATGGAAGGTTCTATCCACATTAGAGAAGAGAGTATAAAGTATATGTTTGCAAAATCTGATATGTACTGCCATGTTGCATATACCTTAATTGAAACAAGTATGACTAAGCTTTGGTACTTCGATAATGGAGCTTCTAGACATATCACATGGAATCAAGCCAATCTCAACAATTACACTGAAGTAAAAGAGAGCAAAGTCACGTTTGGTGGTGGAGAAAAGGGAAAGATTCGGGGCAAAAGAGACTTAACTGAAGCTAAAGAACCTCAACTCACCAATGTGTATATTGTTCAAGGATTAACAGTGAGCTTCAATAAAGTGAAATGTTGGACTATAGATGAGAAGAACCGCAATGCTCTCTCGGAAATCCGTACTGAGAACAATTGTTGCATGTGGGAAAACCTAACTAAAACATGTTTTAGAGCTAAGAAGGATGATCTGGTGCTCTGCCATCAGCGACTTGGACACATGAATGCTAGAAGTCTCTCAAAGCTAGAGATGAAGATATCAACGACTTGGACACCTTAAATAGAAGCGATGCAAACTGTTTTTGTTGGTAGAGATGATGATATTTAGTTCTTGACAATCAAAGACGAGATAAAAAAAATTGTGTCTCTCACCACTACGTATTAGTTGTTGCATTATGGTTTTTAAGATTACTATACCTTTGCTTATGTTAGGGTTTTTAATATTTCATTGGTTTTTAATAATTTTTTTATTTTTATATTATGTTTTCATATCAATGAAGAACATTTTTGATTTAATCAATAGGTCTTTATTTTATATAAATAATAATTTTTGATAATTTAAAATTAGCATTTGAGAAGACAATTTTTGAGTTTTTTGTGTATAAAAACAATTAATATAATTTAAAGTAACTGTTATTATTAATTATAACTTATTAATGGCGATCACATTACAAATTTTGAATATGTAAATATGGTAAAAGATAGACTATTAACATTGTTTGTAAGCCATAGTTGATAAAAGTAATGGTTGATTTTATGCTTTTTTGTAAGTAATAGGATGAATCCAAAAATCATAGTTTTATAATTTGGTATGGCATTACACAAAATTTTGTAAAAACTATATGCCAAATTTATACTTGGTATAATATAATCATTAACAAAGTCTATAAACTTCCTTAAATCGTTTATTTTGTAGCTTATAATGTTGTCTTGTTGCATGATGGAAAATGGGACGAGCTTGGTGATTGTATCTTAACGTTAGCGAATAGCAAAGAACCTGTCAAGGCTTTTCACGTCTTCATCGATTTGCCACCAGTCTACAAGAGTTTCATCGACAAGTTCTTGCACAAAATCCTAGAGGAAGCTAGTAATGTCTTTCTTGATCCTTATAGAGTTGAAGATTGGAGCTTGGCTTTACAAACTTTTGTTAAAATGTGGATTCAGCTTTTGAGCACAGGGATGAGATTTGAGTTACTAAGGGCGTTAATGGAGATTCGGGTTTCCTCTGTTGTGAATTCAGTGATTGATTTAGTGAATAAGGAAAAGGAACAGTTTTTGGTACAAGGGCTTGAAGATTTCGAGAGGTTCTTCTCACGAGATATGAATCTTTATCATTACGCTAAAGATCAATGCTATTTTGTGTCGGCTTTAGTGATCAAGATCGATGGAGTCGGGTCACATTTGACCAAGGAGATTGTGAGGAAGATCAAAATGTTGGTTACAGAACAGGACAATCCTGCCATTAAACCACAGGATGATCTTAAGAATAGTAGAGAAGAAGAGTTTGACCGTGGCTGGTATGACCATTTGAAGAATTTATCTTCATTGGAAGTGTTAAAGATCTTCGCGTCCACGGAACTTGAAGATAGGTCTAGAGAGATAGCAATTAGAAGAGTCAATGCCTTACTCTCTGATCACACTTTAAAGAAGGTGAAAATAGATATTGCAGAGATAAGAAAACTCCAACCATTGCTCATGTCTTGCTTAAAGGAAGAAGGAATCTCTGACAGTATGTTTAAAGTCCTAGGTCAGGTGGTGAACTATGTTGCTTATGAGATGTTGGTCTACCAAGAGGAGACATGCTATGAGCTACGCGATTATATTGCATCGAGTGAAACAGAGTTTCAGAGAGCGGTTTATATCTTCCAGTGCTTGACAATGGCGCTTGTTGATGACGATTTTGTGATTCCTGTGATGGAGAACCTTTTCCCAGAGATAATCACAAGGCTAAACCCACCAACAGAGTTGTTGGTAGATAACAGTTGCTGGCTCTTGGTGTTTAGGGCTGCTTTCTGTGCAGCAATTCACTTGATAGAGGACCCAGGTTACGCTAAATCCGTTAAGGAAATTGCACATAAGATGATAGATTCTATAAGAGAGCTTGTGGAAAGAGAAATGGAGGTTGGGCTTGTGAGGAGAGCTTTCAGAGATGTTGAAAGTATTGTGAAGAAACAATTGGAATGGTACAGTACGAGCCAATACAAATTGGTTAAGGGTCTTCTTTGGAGACTCTATGCAATCAAAGGCATGAAATGGGAGAGTAAGATTGTGTTGTGGAGAATCAATGTGATTGTCGAGAGAGGAGTGAAAGAAGTGGAGAAAGAGCTACCAGAGACTGAGTTTGATTGGCTGAACCTTACTGATGATGAGTTTGAATAGAAAAAAAATAGTTTTTGGTGTATAGTCTTAAATTGTGCAGAGTCTAGTTTTTGGTGTATAGTTTGCATTCGAGAAGAAACTTGTGAAGAAATAGATAGATAGAGTTTTGGAAAATGTACTTAGTTCTTGAAAATACTCTATCTTGAGAGTTGACTTAATAATCTTTCTCATGCTAATTTTTTTTTCGTAGCATCAACTTCTAATTATCAGAACATCAACATCAGAACAAGCTCTACACTTGGCCTCTGTCTTAAGTACAGTGACTGCTACTTCCACTAAAACCGCTCCCTCCAATGTAATAACTGACCAAAGCGTATAGTTAATGAAGCTATATAGTGGAAGAGATGTCCACGGGAACAATCTGTTTGCGGCCTTGGTATCACTGGTTGTCGAGGCAGGTAGTGGTTAGTAGTCCTTCTGGTTGTTTAGACATTGAGCCATTGGTGCTGAAAATTGTAGTTCCAAGACTCCACGCTCCAGCACATTGTGACACAAGACTGTAGATATTGAGACGCCTGATGCTATATAATAAAGGCCCAGCCCAAACCAGATTCCTTATTGTTTTATAAATAGCTAGGGTTATATATGTTAAATAAACTTATTGCTTGCTCTCCACTCTTCCCGAGAAATAAACCGTCTAAAGCTGTTTTCATCTTCTCCATGGCCAGTTCTAGCAAAGAATCTGGCCGTCAAAGCTAATTTATTTGGTTGGTTTTGTGTGGTTCTCTCTTATCTAATGTTTTATACTGTTCACTTACTTGGCTGTTCGCTAAATCTTTTAGGTAAGCGAAAGCCGGAAGATGACTTGGAGACCAAGCCAATTCTCAAGAAACATAAGGAAACATCCGAGGAGAAGGTAACCCTAAGATGGTCGGATTCCTCTTGTTCCTTTACAACAATTTTCTTTACATTGTCTTCTAATGGCTACTCATTTAACAGGAGACAATGGAAGGATTTGCTGATAGTCTCCAGCACACTAATATAATCTCAGTGATGGTATAATTTTAAAAAACATTGCACTGTTTGTTAGATGATTTTGCATAGAATTGTACAATTAAGCATCTTGTTCTTATTATCCTCAAAATATGTCAGGCTCATACATTTGATAACACAACTTTTGCCACTCGAAATATAACTTATTCAATTTCAAGTCCTTTTCTCATCAGAGTTGTGCTAACACACTTGCATGTTATATTCAGGAAGCTGCCACAACAAAAACGCTCTATGTTGCCAATCTCTATCGTAACATTAAAATATCAGATATGTAAGTAGCATCTTAAATTTCCACTTTCGTTCTCGGAGCAAGTTTTTCATCATGACTAATATTTAATATATCCTCCATATTTACAGAATCAATTTCTTCAAAGATGTTGGGGAAGTTGTTCATGTTCGACTTATTGTAAACAGCAAGGGCTGTTATGCGTGCTGGTGCTTTGTTGAGTTTGCTTCTGCTAACGAAGCAGAGAAGGTGAGAGTAGTTTTGTAGTAATTATGAAAAATGCATTTTAGTAGTCATTTGAAAAGTAGTGTATACTTATGATGAAAGTACCATTACTGATAAAAATCTTTTATACTCTAGTTTTGATACATAAGAACGGTGAATATTTGGACGATCGCAAGATTTTTCTTGAAGCGGTTAAGACAGTTCCATTCAGTCCACCCAAGTAAATTGATTTTCCATATTATGTAACACTAGTAGCTTATATCTAAAGTTTTGATGCCATACAGAAGACTAACACCATAATTTTTGCTAATTAGGTATTGCATAGAATATCACAAGAATTGGTAAGGGATTTAACTATTTGCATCTTGAGTTTTATCAAGAGCACATTGGGTAAAGTTTTTGGTATACATGGAGAGATCAAAAGGGTTTTTGATATTCTAGGTACGAAGACTACCTTCGACAAGAAAGCCTTCTGATTGAAGAAGATGAGGCAGTGGAAGGACTTGAGGTACATGTTCTGACTAGATGAGGATACTTTTTGTTGTTATGCAATTTTAAGTCTTTTGCTCCTCATTAGAGTCGTGCTAACACACTTGGGTGTTAAATTCAGGAAGTGGCCGCAAGAAAAAAGATACTCTTTGTTGCCAATCTCCCTGAAGACTGTCAAATAATACCAAATATGTAATGTAAGTACGTAGCACTATTTATTCCCTCTTACGTTCTTCGAGCAAGTTTTTCACGACTCATTTTTACAGCATCAAATTCTTTGAAGATGTTGGAGAAGTTGTTCATGTTCGAATTATTGTAGACCACATGGGTGAGCATGTGGACTGTGGCTTTGTTGAGTTTACTTCTTCTAACGAAGCAGAGAAGGTGGAGTAGTTCATTAGAATTTGTTCAAAAAAAAAAAAGGCAGTCATTGAAAAGTAGTGTATACTTATATAGAAAAATATACATTTGAAAGTACGATTTGATCTGATTAATCCTTTTATGAGGTAGGCGATGGAAAATAATGGTCAATATTTGCGCTATTGTCGGATTTTTCTTGGCGTGGTTGAGAAAGTTTCATACCCTCTCCGACCCAAGTAAAGTGATTTTTCATATGGAGATTTGTTTCTCTAACTTATTGGTATAGTTTTGATGTCATAACAGAAGATTAACGCTACTATTTTTGTTAATTAGGTACAACCTAGCAGAGAAGCTTTGGTAAGGGATTTAAACTATTTGCCTTTTGTGTTTTGTTATCAAGAAGAGCACATTGAGTGAAGTTTTTGGTTTATATGGAGAGCCACAAATAAGGGTTTTTGATATTTCAGGTATGAAGACTACCTTCGACGAAGTAGGCATTTAAAGACCAAACCCAATCTGAAGAAACCGAAGGTGATAATGGCCAATAGGTTTATCCTGAGGTAAGAAGATTACCTTCTCTGACGATGGTGACGACTGATAGAAGAAGATGAAGCTCTTTGGTGTTTTTAACTTGTGATACAATGCAACTTCTTTTTATTACTTCGGTTTTCTTATGTTCTATTATGTAGGTTTTTTGTCTGAACGTACGTTAAAATATGCTTCATTTTGAATGTTCTGGTGATAAATTATTTTTTGTGTTCAAAAAAGTGGGCTAAGCGGCCGTCTAGGCCACGCCTAGACGCTAGGCGCCCTTACATCGCTTTGATTTTCTTTAAATTGGTACTATATAGCGGTGGAGTAGATTTGGCGGACTATGCGGACTAGACGGGCATTAGGTGGATATAGGCGGGTTGGGCGGATTTAAATATGTTTTGTATTTTGAAATTTTAAAAAATTATATTTAAAATAGTTTCAAAGTCACCTATATTTTTAATTTTTTTATTTATTTTATTTTACTTAAATATATTTAATTAAATTTATTTTCTAAAATTTGACAACTTTAAACCCTTTATAATGGGTTTTCAACATTTTATATAATATTATATAAGTATATATTATTTTATTTTAAAATCACCTAAGCTCCGATTAAGTGTTATAGGCGCTAGGTGAAAAGTTACCGCCCGCATACCATCTAGCCAGGCCCGTGCCTACGTTGTGAAACAAGAAACGTTCGCTTCCGGCCAAATTTTTTATTAAACAGTTCAATGGCTCACTAATTTTTTTATATAGTTATTTAGGTCCAATTTTAGTATCCAAACATGATGTTGTACATCAAATCGTTAATAGTTTTATTTTAAGATAAGTAAATATTAAAAGTTAACCATTAAAGTTAGAATAATACATGGCCGATTGGTATCATAAGTTATCTTTGATATTTTTTGGCTGTTTTTTCTATTAAAATGAGAAAAGTTTATTTAGTGATTTTATAAGAAAGAATTAAAAAATAATCATTTTCAATTAAAATTTTACTCTAGTTTTTGTTTATATAAGATAATGATTTTTTTGAAACTTTTGATTTATAAGATATGACATTTTTTTTAAAATACCGCTTCCGTTCTCTATATCTCTAGGCACGGCTCTGCATCTAGCGCTTTCTTAAACACTAATTATTACCTAAGTAAGAGCCGTATACGATTTCAACTGATTTGGTTGACAAAACCATAATCTCCCGAGGGACACAAATTCACTTTTCTCATAAGCGGTTGGGTAGATTCAGTCTTTCCTATCTTTCACCAAAGTCAAATTCACTTTTCTCAGGACCGAGACATTCGCTTGACGATCATTAAAATTAAATATTTAATTTTAGTTTCAGTTATATACGTCTTATTATATCATGTTTGATTTTCAAAGTTAGTAACTCGCATAATCGTAAAACATGTCATGTCTATCGATCACGATCATGTAAAAAAGATTTTGACACATATAAAAAAGAAAATTTGATAATAAATTACAAACTAGAAAAATAAAAAAAAATTACACTTTTCTTTGTTTTTGAAAAGGTATATAAAATATAAATAAAAAGAAAATTATACAATATATTACAAATCGTAAAACTAAAAAGATTATTGATAATTTCTTTTTAAAGGTATATTAAATTAAAAATAATATAGTAAATTACTAATTGTAAAACGAAAAGAATTACATCATTACAGTTACTATAAAGCTTGTTTGAGGCCACAAATTTATTTGTTCAGTCGACACACATACTTCAGACGGTATGAATCAACAAATGCTTTAAGAATAATGGTTTTGTAAAAGAAAATTGGTAATTGAGCCATATACACTTCTTCCGTGAATGTGCCTTGAAGAAAGGCATGATTGATAGCAAGTTATCAACGTGACCAAGAATGACTTCTTGCGTGACCAAGAACATGTCGTATTGAGGTAGACTTGATTACTGAACTAAAAGCTTCTTTTGTTGGTTTAAGCTTGAAACCGACATTAACGTGAACCGCAAGTCATCGGTTCATTTATGAGATAAAGCCAAATCTTTAGGAGTTATCTAGAAGATTCATTAGAGTCCTAATCGAGTTAGGATTAGGTCAAGTGTTGAGACTATATAAGCAGATGCCGTGTGTGGAAGTCGAAACTAACACAATCGAGATTTGTCTAGGGTTTTAATTTAGGGATACGATAAAACGTGAATTCTCAAAGAACAACAGAAACGATTGTAACCAAAGATGGTGTTCTTGATTTTATTGATGAAAAGAGTAGTTTTGATCGTACAAGAGTTTGATCGTTAAAAGAAAAGATGTTTGTGCTGTGAGAGCTTTGCGTAGTGTAAATTCTAGAGCGATCATTTTTCCTGTGAGAGCCTTGAATCTCTTTATATAGGGGTGATAAACCGCCTCTCCAGCGATATTCTCGGAAGATTTCCATTTATCTCGAAGTCGGCGTAGAATATCGCGGATTAGGATAGTTTCCTTATTCTTCGGAGTTTCTTGGAAGATTTCCTGATTTGAGTTGATCCTTCGAGATTTATCATTTCCGGGTTTATCGGAAATGATCCTTGGTTTTCGGAAATGACGCCTTGCTTGGAAATGATACTCTGAAGACGAATATTTACTAAGTCTTTGCTTCGGGTGATGACGAATACTTCGGCCTGGTGAACTTATGCAATCAGCTCGGGTGCACATAAAGGATCGGCTCGGGTACCCGAGATGACTTGTTCGGGTAACCCGAAGTGATGGCCTCGGGTGCACGGAAAGAAGTGGTTCGGGTATCTCGGCGTGAACCGGCTCGGGCGGTTGATGAGCTGGCTCGGGTTGCAAGTTTGGCTGTGGATCCCGAGGCGACCGGCATGTTGCCCCGAGGTGAAAGTCTTGTTGCCCCGAGGTGAATGTCTTGTTGCCCCGAGGTGAATGTCTTGTTGCCCCGAGGTGAATGTCTTGTTGCCCCGAGGTGAATCGCTTATTTTACCGAGGTGATTGATACATTTCCCCGAGGTATTTTCTGAGGTGTCCAAAATCCGGCTCGGCGCTAAGGGATGGAATCCGACCCCAACACCGTGTGTGTGGTAAAGCTTATGAGTTGATTGAGAGTTTTGGTTTTGAGAGAGATTAAGAGAGTTTGAGTTTTGAGTTATTTTCTTAAACTAATAAAGTGAGTTATACTTTAAATCTTGTTGATCTTAAAACCTTAAATCTCGTTCTACATCTTTCAAGTCAAGTCCATATTCTTGATGAAATCCCTCAACAACAAGGCGAGCTTTGTACTTGTAGAGATATTACCAGTTGAAAAGAGTTTCACCTTGAACACCCATTTACACGATATGTTGTTCATTAGGTTATAATAGTTTCTTGTTTGAGAAACTTTGATGTTTATACTCTTTAAAATCCACCGATGGAGGTGACCTTAGTAAATTTGGTTTTGTATTCCATTTGTTCGGAAAGTCATTTCTCATTTATCGGACTTTTAATTCCGAGGTACTTATCTAAAAAACTTATTGGGGTTTGTCACCAGAAGGATCTCGACCTTTGCCTGCTTTGTGTTGTGTAATTATTGTTCCAATACCAACAAAATACCTCTGCATAAAGGAAAAAAAATTGTATTAAACTAACGTACGGAAAACAAACCTATCAAAAGTAGTGTGTTTTGGCATAAAGAAAACTCATAAAAGGTAAAACAAGGGTTAACACATAAACGAAATTCCTATGAAGAACTTGGAGGTTCAGCCAAGAGATGCAACCCACGCACACAATTCGCATCAGAGCAAGAGCAAGATCAAATATGAAGAATGAAAATAATAGATTTAATAATCTGTTAGCGAGTAAGGCTTATTTACAAAAAGCATCGTCAAGTTCACTTCTTTTTGTGTATCTTTCTCATTATATGGCGCATATATAGCAAATTATGTAATAATTTGCTTTCCGAATGTTATGTATACTGACCTTGTAACCTCGATTTGATATCAATGAATTTAGAAGGAAAAAAAAAAAAAAAAAACATATAGATAAATATATTTTACGAAATTATCACATAAAACTGAAAATGATAAACGTGTATTCTTCAATAATGTTGAAGGGAAACTAAACGATTGAAGTTTTTGAATACTTGTGAGTGCAAGCCATGGTTACAAGAAACGCATAAATCGTAGAGAACACGAGCTGATTTGTATTCTTGACGCATAAAGAGATGATCGACGATCATCGCTAATTCTTCATGGCTTGCACTCACAAGTATCTCCTTTCTTGTTTTCTCCACAAGAACCTTTGACTGAACTTTTCTTCACAAGAAAACTTCTCAACCAACATGCATTATCTTTCTTTGATCTGAGACTTTCCATGACTTTATACCTTGATTTAACAGAAAGTTTGATGACAGAATATCATCATAAACCTTACTAATAACAATCATTGAGAATAACCTCTTCTCCCACATAATCTCATCTTTCTCATGAACTAAGAACTTTTTATTTTTTGTCTCAACTTCTCTCTTAGCCTTAGTTGCAATCTTTCTGTGTCAAAGTCTCATCTAAAAACGATTTTCAGCATTCTTCATAAACCTTACTGATGATAATCATTCAGAAGAACCTCTTCTCTTACATAATTTCATCTTTCTCATGAACTAAGAACTTTTTCTGTCTCAACTCCTCTCTTAGTCTCAGTTGCAATCTCTGTGTTTCAAAGTCTCTTCTAAAAACGCTTTTCAGCATTCTTCATAGTTTCTAGGATGCTTCCATAACATGTTTCAACATCTATGCTCTTCACCTTTTTCATGTCATTAGAAACTCATTGTTCCATAAGACTTTGAATCAACTGTTCTGAAATGTCATCAGTAAACTATGTTCCCGGACTCCAAATCCAGTGTCCTTCTACCAGAATCTAGTTTCACATGTCTAGAGTATCTCTGCAAAATTTCATCTCATTCCGAGTTTATTTGGTCATCCGGTTGACATTTCCATAAGAACTGGTCAAATCTGAAACTTTCAGATGAACTGTGCCCGGAAGAAGCTCGAATAAAACACAAACCAACCGTCAAAATCTCAATCCCACCGTTGATACTCAAGACAGCATTTTCACGAAGCTTACCACCAAGTTTCAGCTTGATCGGATTACGTTTCATCCACCAAACGTTTTCTTGAATCAGACATCTCCTTTCTTGTTTTCTCCTTTCTTCTCTAATTCAAAAATCATATACTGTGACATTGCAATATCTCTCGTTGTCGAAGAGGGAGACTTGAATGAAGTCTCAGATGAATTGATGGTGAATAAAGAGATGCTCGCCAGAGATGAGGGCTGAGAGTTACACCAGAAAATTCACCGGTTAGGATGTGGTGGTTGAAGACGGCGGCCGTGACGGTGACTGGTGATCGGTGAGAGTTGTGACCTCTAGCTGTCGTCGGAGATAGAGAAAAAGGGTCGATTAAGAAGAATAAATCGAAGCAAGAGGGAGATGAGGAAGAAAAATCAAAATTGGGTATTTAATCAAAGGGTTCAAGAGGGAGTGTTGGATTTGAACCTTTGATTAAATATGCGAAAGAGAAAGCAAAGGCTCGTGATTAAATCGTGAAGGAGCAAAGTCAACGACAAAGTTTATGGACACCGTAGATCTCGCCGCCGTCCTCTACAGCACAGAGCCGACAAAGTGAGCAAAGTGAGCGATCCAGGACGACCGCTCCACCTTGACCGGCGACCACCGCACCGCCAGAGAACAGATCTGAGCGACTTCGATGAAAGGCTTCAACCGACAATGTTGTGGACTCGCATACAGACAAGTGGGCCGAGCTCGGTGATTGTATCTGGATAGAGATAGAGAGATTTATTTAAATAAAGCCCAGGCCCACGTCGACCACTCAGATTTATCCCACGTCGTCCCCTCGAATTTTTATGGACTGGTTTATAACAGATGAGGGAAGATCAAAACTGGCCGGTGATGAAGCTGTATCCCATAAAACGACATCAAAGGATCTTTGATCCACTCGTGAAATAAACCAATACACAGTCTGAGGCCAGTTCCTTTTTTTTTCCATGAACTGTGAAGTGTGAATGATGCTTACATTCTCAGAGTCCCACATCAATAGGAAGCTTTTCGAGTGACCACAATGCTCTGTTTCTTTCGCCGAGCTGTCTCTTTCGCTTCTTCAGCTTCAGTTATGTGAATCTACGATTAGGAAGAAACAAGGGTGGTGAAGAGTATCGTGTTCCGTTTTGTTCTGTGGCTCTTGATGTTCCTAAGTTACGTATAGCTCAAGGCTTTTTGGTTTTGAGAGATTTGAAGCTTCCTGTGAACGGTTTGGTTATGCTAATGGATATTGGCCTTGTTGAGTTCTCTTTTGGTCTTCCCTTCGAGCTATTTTCAATCTGATTATGTAATTCCTTTGGTTGCTTACATTCTCGGTGTTTCCTCTGCCTAAGGTTAACGGCGTTTGGAATCTTTTAGGGAGTTTCAAAGCGGTGCCTACTAAATAAAAGGAGATCTCTTTGCTCTATGGTATGTATCTGATTTACGTGTTCGTGTCCCTTATTCTCGTCTTAATTAATTTCACATCTTGAAAAGGGTTTATTGCTATGAATTTAATTCTGTAATTGAGTTGGTGAATAAGGAAAAGGAACAGTTGTTTTTGGTACAAGGGCTTCAAGATTTTTGAGAGATTCTTCTCACGGAACATGAATCTGTATCATTACGCTACGGATCAATGCTATTTTGTGTCGGACGAGTCGGGACACATTTGACCAAGGAGATTGTGAGGAAGATCTAAATGTTGGTTACAGATATCCTGCCATCAAACCACAGGATGATCTTAAGAATTGTAGCTAGAGAAGAGTTTGACCGTGGCTGGTATGACCATTTGAAGAATTTATCTTCATTGGAAGTGTTAAAGATCTTCGCGTCCACGGAACTTGAAGATAGGTCCAAATCCTTTCACTCTTTGAGACTTTCTGTATGTTTACGGCAATTATCTCACTTGACTTTCTCCTTGACACCAATAGCAACAACTTTCAACACCCTTGCGTCTCAAACAAAGAACATTACTCGGTGGTACAAGAATCTGTCAATAACTCTGCGTTGAATCAGTTGATGCAAATTAAGGAGCTTTATGGTTATGATCAGAATAACATGTGATGTCACCAACATCAACGTTCTAGAGATCATTGTCTCCCCAAACACAGTTTCAGATGACTTCTGTTGTGATTTTCCTTATATAGAAACACCAGCTTCTCTCAAGATATTTTCCAGACATGTTTTCAAACTACATTCTTTCTGACAACTCGTGATTTCTCTAAAACAAAAACAAGCAAACTGTCCACAATTCGGAGAAAAATAAAACTACCTCATCAATGGTGAAGTAGCTTATTAAAGAGAGTGAATCTACGGAGCCAGAAAATGATACCCTTTTGCTTTTGGTCTCCACAACAAACTTGCGTAGGGAAGACGGTAACAATATATTAGGGCTCACAAAAGTCTAAGTAATTTACACTCTTTTGAAAATTTGACCGCGTCCGGTCATCGACCTTTATTTAACTCCGTTTAAAATTCGAACCAACGTCCAAACAAGAAAGTTTTAACAAGGCAAGATATAATAGATTGTAAAAGACTCTCATTCGATATAAATAATCTTAAAGCTAGAGCTGAAAAACTTTTTCTCTGTAGGATTGATGATCGGATCGGTCAGGTATTGTGAAGGATACTATCGGTGATTGTCTTCAGGATATGGCTACATTGGTTGTTGTCTTGTTGATGTATTATCATTGGTAAGATATAAAATTCCAAACTATATTTTATTTGTTATCATATATCCAATGCATCGTATTAGATCATATATTTTGTTTGATGCTTAGGGTTGTGAGAAATTGCTAGTAATCATTTTTTTCTTTTCTTTTGTAGGTAGTAATCATTTTTCATCTTGCCCGTGTATATATTTTCCTCGATTGAACAACACGGAAGAGTTACAATTAATTGAGATGATGGAGACTGTAAGCCGTCTATTGGAGGCTATGCAATTAACCAACATGCTTCATCACTTCCATGTATATATCTTGCGATTCTCTTCTCTCTACTATTACATAAAAACATTTTGGAAACTTTAACACAACACAACTATTTTTTTTTTGTTCTCAATGACACAATGCAATTATGAATACCTAATTGAACCAAATAAATTGTCAATCTCATATAAACAAACAATACAATTCTAATGCAGTTAAAAATATTTTAATACAATACAATTTTCTCTCATTCTTTATAACCAAGTCATGTACGTTTGTAAAAAATATTTTAATACAATACGATTTGTACGTTTATTTAGAAAAAGTTAATTAACTGGAAGTTTCATATGAGAACGAAAAAAATTGAAGACTTTAGTTGAGAATAAACAATATCTATGCTAGTACTTTTGAAGTATATTTTTAATGGGTGAAGCAAAATACATTTGAATACAATAGGTATTCGACCCGTTTACAAATTTTGTTCATAAAAAGTTTGTTACGTCGGGTTATATTTAACCCAACTCATACACCAAATATTTCTTATCTATACTAGTATTTTTGAAATACATTTTTAGCGGGTGGGATAAAATGCATTTGGATACAATGGGTATACGACCCGTTTACAACTTTTGTTCATAAAAAGTTTGTTCGGTCGGGTATATTTAACCCAAGTCATATACCGAATATTCCTTATCTATACTAGTATCTATACTAGTATCATCGCAGCACATTTTTAGCGGGTGAGGTAAAATGCATTTGGATACAATGGGTATCCGACCCGTTTAAAAATTTTATTCATAAAAAGTTTGTTCGGTCGGATTATATTTAACCCAACTCATACACCGAATATTTCATATTTAATCATTTAGATATTTATAAAATTTGACTAAGAGTTAGAATTATGATTCTCCTATAATCTTTGTTTGATTTGTTTTTAACTGTTTTGAATCATCATATAATACATAAAGTCAAAATTAATTTTTTTTCTGCATATACTGTGATTCAAAATTTTTAAAACGGACATATATTATCCAATTGACAAAAATGTGTGTTCAACGTTCCACATCGACTAAAATATTTAGACAATGATTCAGAATCATATCATAAATAAGATCAACATTAATAAAATAAATGGTTTTTTGGCGGGACGAGTTTGGCGGGACAAAGTTTTTAAATCAACAATAATAAACAATTAAAATATCATTAATCCGCCGCTTCAATAAGGATTAAATCTTTAATTTTTTTTAATACCACCAATATTAGACATATCAAATCAGTCTCATTTAGAAACGATTGTAAAATTAAAAACAAAAATTGTCCCGTGATATAATGTCATTTACTAACAATTGTAAACTATAAATATTAAATGTCATAGAGAATGATACAATTTGAAAACTTTTATATATAATAAATAATCGTTAAATTTTAAAAATTACTACTTTTAGGAAATAAATTACGGGACGGGTTGAGAAATTACAGGACATGTTATATTTCGGATCAGGGTTATATGGTGGAAAAGTTTGAATCAATATTTATAAAATTTTAAATATCATTAACATGCCGCTTTGATACGGGTTAAATATTCAGTTTATTAACAATTGTCTTGTGTACTCATGGTATACCGTTACTTAATAACAATTGTAAACTATAAAATACATATATTTTATAAAGATATACAATTTGCAAAATTTTATATAAACCAAATTTAAAAATAAATCATCCTGCGGTGTACCACGGGGTTAAAATCTAGTACTATGTTATTTACAAAATTTCTCAAACAGTCTAATAATTGAGAATAAACAATATACTACGCGACTGTTTTTGGTTTTTAATACTAATACTTAACTTAGTAAATTTAACCAAATTATTAAATTTTAATCGAATAATCGAGGAAACTCTTTACCCCGCGCAGAGCGCGGATCAACCCCTAGTTTTTTTAAACAAATATCAATTCAACAAAAATTTTGCTTGAGTAACGGGTCAGGATTTGAGTGTTGATATTCAATTTCATACATATTTTTTGACGTATAATTTTATATACTACTATAAAATTTTAAATATTTTAGTTTGTAACACTTTTTTTTTTTTTGAACTAAAACTTGTTTTCATTCCATTAAGGTAGAACTCAAGTACATAGAAAAAAGGAATCTTAGATCCAAAAGTTTCAATAACAACAGAGAGGGCTTTTCTCCAAAGCCAACATAAAGTAGATAAAAAGATAGATAAAGTTAAAGGTGAGTTACTCAAATAACACATAAAAGTGTGTTTATTACTTATATAGCTTGTACTATTTGTTGATCATTAATGGCCAAATAACCCTTGAATTGTTGTTATAGGAAAAAAGTTATTACAAAACTGCCATTAAAAGATGCTGCCACATCAGAGAGAGAAAGTGAGTTTTAAGAGGGAAAATTTCCCTCCACTTCAAAAGTCTATCGTTGTAGTGACGATAGAGTTAATAGGTTTTGGTAGATTATCACGTTAAAGTTATTAGGTTGAATAAGTTATGTGATAGAGTAATAAGGCGATAGAGTTATTTGATTGAGTTAATTACAGTGGTGGCAGAGTTGAAAAAAAACCAGAGTTACATGACAGAATATGATGACTTTACGTTTACTAAAATAGCACCGTGACAGATTTAACGTATGTGGTGGCAGAGTTATAAAAAAATTGAGTTATGCGGAAGAGTAACATGTACTGGCAGCAGACTTAATGAGGGATATAGAGTTACTTGACAGATTTTGCGAAATAAGTCTGTCGTAACATGACAGAGTTAATCCTTATGACAGAGTTATTTTATAACTCTGTCATAACGAGGCAGAGTAACGGTTTACTCAACTAGCACGTTTGAGCATTTTTTTTAGACGTATGTGGTGGTAGATTTAGAAGAAATTGTTAGCGATTAGATTTAAGTAGGGCGAACATAACATTATGAATTGTCGATTTTACCCTTTAAAAAAATTTATATTACAACATTTTATTTTTTGTGGGGTCCTTGACAACTAGATATTGTACATAGTTGTATGTAGATGTCTTGTTGTCCTGATTCCTTCATAGTTGAACTAAATGAAATTTCGTCATTTTGAAGTTGAACCTTGAAATCGAAAATATAAATCTAGTTGGTAACATTAATTTTCACATTAGATCGGTTTTTAAGAAGTTTTGATTGGAAAATATTCAGGAAATAATAGTTTTACTATTTATTGCATCAATATAGGTCATCATGAACTAAATGTTCATTGTTACACAAAGAGTGATTTGTGTAAAAACAAGTTTATTATCAAATAAATTTATAAAAATTTATATATTATATTTGAAAATAGAAAATGTAATAAATTATTAAAGTTTAAAGTTTTTAATGTTAAAAATCACTTGTTACGATTTAATTTTTAAAATTTCATAGATATAATTTTAATGTACCAATTGCTGAATTTGTTTTCTAGTTAGCAATAATGATTTGTTTTCTAGTTACCAATAATGATTTGTTTTCTAGTCTGTTGATATAATTCATCTTAATGTAACAATTGATTAGGATTATATATTTTCATAAATGGAAGTAGTAATTGAGAAATAAAAGGTGGTATAAATTATCTTGAGTTGGTATAATTCAATCATCCATTGTAGATTTTTCTCATTGGTCTATATACTTTGTGAAAAATGTCATTTTATAAATATAAAAAGAAAAGAGAAAAATTAAAACTCGTATACAAATGTGAAAGTGATAGAACAGGGGAGTGCATTAGACAATCTGATAGTGACTTGAGAGACAACACACAAAGTAAGCCACAACATCTATGATATGCATACAAACACATATTGCTGAATTTGGGCCACGATGTTTTAGACGACGGCGGTTGTGGTGGCGGTGGTGGATAAGTGTTTAGAATTGATTAAGAGGCGGGAAATGGAGACGGATGAGACGAGGAGCATTAGAATGACTCCGGCGAATGCGGCGATGAGTAAGTGGCAAACCTGTCGCAGACTTTGTTCCACTTGGCATGCTTGTTTCCATTCTTCGCCAACTCCGCCACGAATACCGCCGCGTTTGCAGCAGCAGATACTAGAGTTGCGTTTAGCTTTTTTCCAAACGTTTATCAAGAGACCAAGTCAACACATATATTGAAGTTTTTAATCCGGAATAAAACCGAAGCTAAGTCTTATCTACCAAAGCTAAGTCCAGTTCTTGTGCCATGTAGCATAACTCATTCACAGAAAAGACAGATTTCAAACCCAAATCTTAATGTTTGGTTGGTGTATCAGATTATATTAATACATACATTAACAATGTCAGAAGGGCCAATGGAGTTTTACAAGTCTACAAACAGAAGAGAAGGTCAAGTTCCATGGAGCAAAAGAGTGCCAAATTCTTAGAGCAAAAACCTTTATGTGTGTCTTCCAACTTTGAATAAACCCCAATAATGCAGTAACAAGAGATTCTGATCAGCCTTTTCTCTTAGGTTAAAAAAGAGTCAAGAGATATATAAACATACAGTTTTTCCGCGTATGTAATATGCACAAACCAAACGCAGGAATAGAAGAAGAATTTGGATTTGATCTTTAAGATCTCACGCATTCTTGGTTACTTTTTATCGGTGGTCACACCAACAACAACATTGGTCACCTGCAATTTGTGTGTTTCAGTCACTTTGTCATAGTTTCCTCTAATGTGGTAAATAAGAAGAAGAACACAGGTGATAGAAATACTCACCAACTTTCCACTTTCATCAACGGACATGGGGTTTTCTACAACAACAGTTTGGGTCTGAGAGGGTGGTGTTGACTGTTGGTAAATGAAAAATCGATTAATAGAGTAAGTGCCAGTTCCATAAGAATATACAGGTTATTGCAAATTCAAAATTTGACAACTCACAGTTGATGTAGAGGGCATTGTCCCGGGACAAGCTGTTCCATTTGGCCGGTTAGTTGGGAGAGGCACCCTTCCATTGCTCATCTAAGGGTAAAAAATGAATCAGAAATGAAATTTTCCAACAGAGAGATATTTCTACTTAACTCAACCAGGCAGAAGTGACTTAATAGATAGGAGTACTCACATTAACGTTAGTTACGAACTGACAAACAGCGCTCAAAGACCAAACGCAACGCATCATCACAGATGATCTTCCGCTTGTTACTCGGGTCTTGAAGGTTGTTCTTCCTTATGTAAGCCCACAATTGCCTCACAATCTGAAACCAAAAGCCAAATTCAGCAACACATAAATAACAACAATTGCGTATACATACTACATAACACATTGTCATAATCATAAATGAAAGACAGTGATAACCTCAGTTCTGGGAAGAGCAGGTTCACCAACGAGGATGAGATTGTTGTACGGATGAAGCGGAGGCGACGGAGGCTGAAGGGTTTTGGTGAGCACGGAGGAGGATATTGATCTGATTTCTGATGAAAGTCGTCTTCTCCTGAGGTCAAACCCTAACTTAGCTTCAAGCTGTTGAACAACACTGGTTAACGATGTGAGAGAGCTAGGGTCTGATTGCCGAAGCAAAGTCTCGACTCCTTTCGCTAGATCCTGGTCCGACACAATTGTGAGTCTCAACAGTGGCGGTTGTTGTTGTTGTTGCCGGCGCGAGAAAGATGTTCCTCTCCGATGGGATTGGTCACATTGTATAAGCTATATCAGTGATTAGAGAGAGAATGAGTCGCGGAGACTGGAGCAGGAGAAGGTGAGTGTTGCTGCGGTAGTGACGGGAGTAGTTTGGTGAGAGAAGAATTGGATTTAGCTTTTCGGTTGGGCTCTGGTGCGGTGGCGTAACAGCGACGGTGGTGGTGGTGAGGATTGGTTATGGCGGAGGAGACGGTCGCCGCCGTCGGTTGTTGTTCAAACCAAAATGAGAGAAATGATTTTTGGATTTAGGGTTGTTGTGCTCTTGGTTTTATAATTTTTTTTTTTCTGGGGGGTTTTTTAATTCAAAATGGCACAAATGTAAATAAAATTTTTAGAGAGGTTTAAAAGACTTTTGACAACTTTTAAGTGTTATTTGAGTAAGACCCTCCTTGATGGGTGTTATCTCAGTAATTAAGTCACTTTTAAGGTATATTTGAGCACATTTTCTCTAAAGTTAATCGATAATAACTTCTTGAAAGTTTTGAGCCAAAAGTTATGAAGCATTTTGGTACATGTGAGATCAAAAATAATTGATGAGTCTTCCAAGAGCGAGTTAACGAAGAAAAAATTAGCCACTATCAAGAGACGAAGTGGCGTTGGTGGATGGACCAAAGTCGAGATTATCGCCGGCACAAGAAAAACTACACGAGGTAGTGCTTTGACAAGGTTTCGAGCAAGGATGAAGGTGCTATGATGTTTGAGGTTGTTTGCTAAAATTGTCACGGAGTGAGAGTTGAGCTTAGACAAACCGTATCATGTGGAGCTGGTGTGGAGAGCGTGTTGCTTAAATTGTCATAAAAGTATGAAGGAGAATGATCATTGGACAAGTTCAAGAACCTAAAAAAAGCTTTAACAACCAGGATTCACAATTGATAGGTGCAAGACCGTAACAGAACAGGTGGGTCCTCTCACATGAAGTCATTGGCGGGCATGGAGATTAAGAAATTCCACACAAAGTTTGTAGTCGGTTTGCCACAAGAAGTAAAAAAAAATTCAGACCTGAGTATCAAGCTTTTAAATGGATGAAAGTCTTCCCTAAAGTAGTTAATCTACACATAAATGGTTTCGGAAAACAGGGGGAGTGGATAAATGGGGCTGAAGAAGCTTCGGTAATCACCGCTCCTTGGATGCGGGATCATAATGCCGTTTTGTAACATTTAAAAATAGTTTTAATAGATATTTTGTAAGAATATCATCAATACTTAATAGATCAAAAATTTAAAATTTATAAATACTCTAATTTAGTTTTTTTTTTAAAATATATTTAAAAATATTTATAATAGGTGACGGGTTATATTATATGATGGAATGATTTATGATCCTTATAACTATTTAAATATTTATATTTAATTTCATACAATTCTATTTGTGAAATTCATAATTTTATATATTACAATAAAAAAAATTCAAAATATTTGAAATTGGAACAATTAAAAATAGTTTAATTTAATATTTTAAAAAATATCATAAATATTTAATAAAGCAAAAAGATTAAAGTTATAAATACTCTATTTTGATTTTTTAAACATATATATTTAAAATATTTATAGCAGGCAGCGGGTTAAATATAAGGTATTATATATGATAAAAAAGAGTTATGATCCTTAGAACATACGTCATGTTAAGATTATATGATGAGATGGTTAAATAATTTTTGACACCTCCAAATGTTTGAAAATTTGATTTTGCAAGCAATTTTGAAAATAACGAATGATGGATTGTACATGTGCACGCAATTTTTTCATTGGGATTATAAAATGAAAATATAGAATCCACGCACGGGTTGAATTTGATATTATTATATACCAAAATATGTTCATAACATATTTGATTATGCGAATAATTGCTAAATTCTGTAACTAGCTCAAACAAATCTCCATTTCAACAACAAAAAAATTATAAATTGAAAAAGGAACTTCCCAAAGTAATTCAAAATAATAGCTAATTTATTTAATTAACTCAAAATAATCTACGTTTTAGATGCGACTCATTTATGATATTTCAATTTTTGTTATAACTGAATTATATTTAATCTCACTTTGTGGTTGTTAACAGAAATTAACTCATTGTTCAAACAATACTAATTTTAAAAAAAGAAGAACGAAGCGGAAAAAAAAAAGCAATGGATTTGTATAGATATGATATAGAAGTGAATACCACGCAAATTATTTATAGCAAATCAAGTAGCGGGGAAGGATCTGGTTATTGTTTTTTGGAAGATAACTACAAAAAAAAAACACAGAAGATTTACATATTTTGAGAAGCGAATCATTATTATAACAATTAATATTCATAAAATTGGCATTTACTCATTATTATCTATGATAGTTTTAAAGAACATTTACTTTTGTTTTTGTAAAAAGATGGAACAATAACATATATTGACATAAAATATAAAATAAGTTCTATTTTTATTTTATAAAAAAAAAAACATATTTAGAAGTTAGTGTATGGGAAGCCCTTTGGCCCATTGGTTGACCAAGGGTTGATTAATGCTTCTACACCAAGAGGTATGAGGTTCGAGTCTCAGGTATTGCGATTTATTAACAAATTTGCAGATTAATGGAGGCAAGTGTGCAAGAGATCTCCAGCGATGTACAATTATAGCCGTTCGCCAGGATTCTACGCAGAGAAGGAAGTGTCGCCAGGTCATGGATCATTGAAGGTATTCATCGAGATTACGAAGAAGGAAGTGTAGTCTGTCGTGGATCTAGTAAAGGTCGGAAGGAATTGTCAGTTGTAGAATCGTCTATGTAACAGTTCTCATAATTTGCAATTAATAATAAATCTAGACGACAAAAAAAAAAAAGAAGTTAGTGTATGTTGATGTCTCTGTATTTTACCGCTTTTAAGCACACTTTTCTCGTGCATTTAGCTAAGTTTCATCTCTCTTTCATTGCATCCATAGTCCTTTTCATATCATTTTCATCACTTAGTACGATTTGCATTGCATGGCATAGCATATTACATATTGGATGTGTTTCAGGTATTTGGAGCTTATTTGGGACTTAATGGATGCAAAGAAGAGAATTGATGATTCAGAGCCAGTCTGAAGTCCCTCAAAGATCGACTCAGATGGAAGTCTTTCATTGCGATTTAGCTTCAGAGCTCTTCATACAAGTTATAGGAACTTGAGTTACCTTTCCAACGGAGGTGATGTCAAGCGAATCAGAGCTTTGATGCAAGAATTATGGTGGTTTTAATGGAGACATATGCAGAAAACTGGTTGGACTCGACAGGAGGTCGAGCAGGCGCTCAGAAACCACCAAGGGTTGGACTCGACCACACCAACTCGACGTGAGGTCGAGTAGGAGGCCATCAAGGAGCACCCTTTGAAGAATCACTCCCCCTCGACCACATGGACTTGACGACACGTCGAGTAGGACGTCAGGAAGCTGTCTGGACACGGACTCGACCACACGGACTCGATGACACGTCGAGTTGGACCACCCACCGACTTCTTATTTTGTCTTGTAGCCAAATTAGGGCAACCTAGTATTCCTATAAATAGGGGTACACGCTATTATCCAGGGGATATTCCTTTTACCCAGCAGATATTCCGCTGCTCTCTCATAAACCCTAGTTTTGTAATCGTTTTTCCCGTTGAATCCTTTAGTTTTTGCACTTACTTTCTTCATCAAAGTTGTAGATCTCGTTCTCATCTATAACATACTTGCTTTTCAATGATTTCTGGGTTTGTGCAATTTTCTGGGTTTTTATGCATGATGTTCTTCAGTGTTCTTGAGTAGTGGATTAGGGTTCTTGAGGATGGATTAGATTAGGTGTGGAATCCTAAGTATATTTAGGTGGTTAAGTGTAGAATTGCTTGATTTCCCTTCTGGTTTAGTAGATCTTAATGCTATTTCTTCTCTGATCAATTGGAAATTGATCTCAGACATTCCAACACCCAAAAGGTGTTTGATGAAATGTCTGAACAAACTTTTCCAGAGATTTGCATACTCTAGCCCAAGAGATTGGATGTTTAGAATGCTTATTGACTTTATTAGATTGAATCATAATGCCTGCTAGGTTATATTTCTTCAATGAGAATTGAGTATGAAAGTGATTTAGCTTGAGAATCTCTGTCACGAGAGTGGATTGATTTGTATTTGAATCTATTTTCTAGGGATAGCTTGATTGAGTTTGTTAACCACCTAGGTAGACTAAGGAGACTGCTATAATCGATTACCCCATTCCTCAGGACCCTTTATCTCTATTGATTGCTTGTTTATCGTTTCTGTTAGCTTTTGTGTTCTACTCGACCTGCTTGCTTATTACTGCTTAGTTTTGATAGTCATTTCTCTTTATGCATGTTCATTCCTGTTCTGTAGCTTTATCGTTTTTATGCATGTTCGATTAGGATTGCTAGATAACAAAACCTCCATTCTGCTTGGCTTGACTTAGTATTCTCTGATCCATCTTGATTGATAATTAGAGCACCTGATTGGATTGATAACCTCTTATACTACAATGGCATGAAAGTATATTAGGGTAATTGATAGCAAAAATCCTAGTATCAATTTGGCGCCGTTGCCATTTGGGTGTCTGCTTGTTACATTTGAGATTTCAGACTTGCTTAGATCAAGTTCTTATCTACTTTACTTTGCTTAATGACTTGCTGGATTTTGCTCTGTCTGTCTGTTTAAGGTCTTTGTCATGCATTACAATGATTTGCCCAAAGAAGAGGAGGACATCTTTGGAGACAACATTCAAGATGAGGAATATGTGGAGCCACAATTAGATGAGAATGTTCTTACATTGGAACAAAAAGTGAAGTTGGATGAGCTTTACAAGGAAAATCCAACATTGACGAGGAGTGACTTAGCGGCTTTGATTCGGTTAAACCTCTTATCATTGCGGGCAGCACTTGAAGGAAGGGAACTCACATTCTATGAGATTAGAGAAGCTCATGCCCTTGAAAAGATGTATTTTCTTACACTGATAGGAGAAGGACAAAAGGTTCATTGGCTCAACCTTTTGATTCTTATGACTAATATTTTGCTATGGAGAAGTCAAGCTAAAGACTTTAAACAAGCTCACTTGGGAGGAATTCCCATGTTTATCTTTGTAAATAGCTCTTTATCTCTTGTTATTTTTGATGTGTTTTTGTAGTGTCTGTGATTTTCAGGAATTAATCGAATTGGAGTCAAAGGAATAGAGACAGGCCAGACTCGATGTGCCCTACTCGACTACAAGTCGAGCTTGCCCCTTGGTGTCACTCCAAACCAAAGACGAACGCCGAGCTCGACGTACCTGCTCGATGAGACGTCGAGTTAGCCCATGAAGCCCACCAGTACCAGGTCAATCACCTCCTTCTTTACCCATCCAAGAGGTAACAACTCCAATTCACCATTGTATATACTACATTTTATTTTGTTTCTCTGTTGGTTTGCCCTGAGTACTCTCTTCCAAATTCTTGTTACACAGAGGACTGTGTAATTT